AGAGGAAGGGAGGGGAGAGGGCGGGAGGGGGCAGGGATGGGACATGACAGGACTGGACAGGGTGTGGCCAGAGGAGTGCCTGGGATTTCCATGGCTCTTTTCTATCCCCAAATCAAACATGAACAGAACAAGCAGCAGTCTCATCTCACAAACTGGGCAACCATGCTGTGATGGCCCATCATATTCAAGTTTTAGTTCTTAACTACCGAGGAAGATGAATGTTTCTAACAAGAGAAGTTTGATATGCAATGAGGAACTTTCCATAAATTTTAAGCAGTTTAATTGTTCTCAGAGAAACCCCAACTACAGTGTTAGGGTCAAGCCTTATAAATTAGCTGAAATAGGCTCTGAGTTATAGAACCAAAAGACACTTGGTCCCTCGGCTACTCGGATGACACCCTGGGGCTAGACGCATGTGAGCTCAGTCCCCAGCCTCCCCAACCGCTCCAGCCTGTGCCTTCACGGGCTATGTCCCTATCAATGGATGTCACCAGCCGCTAACTCCTGCTCCTATGATGGAAAGTCAGGGTGCTGATCCTGGTTTAAAGTAACATGGCCTATTAAGTGTGTGCACGTGTGTGTTAATTAGTCCATAATTTTAATCCCTTTAAAAATTATTACATTGATGCTTGCATTTTCCCTTTGGGCAAATTAGTCAAAACACTGATACAGTGAAATGCAGGCCAAAGGAAGCGCTCACGTGTCGCTCTGAGGTGGCTCTGGCCTCTGAAGGCTGCACAGCGCTGGCCACGTGTTCTGGACGGCCTCGCCCAACACATGCCCTGCAGCTGGCCACTCCACACATCGTCCTCGGCCCTCGCCAGGGCTCTAGCCCCGAATCTGTCCTGCTCTGCATCCCCTGGTTTCCACTGTTGATTCCTGAGCCAGAATAGCAAAAGGAAGAAAGCGCCCCGTGGCTTTTCACAAAGTCTTCCTCAGAAAGCCACGTGCCATCTGGCTTTGTTCCTTAGATCCACGCAGATGTGATACTGACTGACAATGGTATGCACAGATCTGCACAGCAAGCATGCTACGTGGAAGCCACAGGAATGTTGTCATTGGCGTGTGCATGCCGACTATGCCGACTGTCGCCCGCTTCGGGAGGCGGAGGGGCTCGCGCAGAGTGCTGCCTCCTCAGGTGTCAAGCTTGCCGGTCGCCGTGCTTTCCGCTGTGGCTGCTTGGCAGCGCTCCCTCCTAGCACACTAGGAAGCACAACTCTCAACTTTCTGCGGAAGGAGAAGACACAACTGCAGACCTCTCACCAACTCTTCATGGCTATGTGGACACTGTTCTCATCCTCATGGGCTGGAGGTGAAGGCCAGCAACCTTTTTTAAACAAATATTCCGGGGAAAATAGCTCAGCAGACTAAAGCACCTGCGTAGCCAGACGTAGCAGCTGGGTTCAGTCCCCGGCCTGCTGTGCTGTCCCTGCCCCTGGGGCATGCTAAGATGGCGACTGAGACTGGGCATGGTGGTGAGCACCTGTACTCCCAGCTCTTGGGAGGCAGAACACAGGTGGATCACCACGAGTTCGATCTACGTACAAGACCCTGTCCTAATAAAAAAAATCTGGGAAATGAGGAATGCCCATTGTTCAGTAAGAAACACTGAACTGGAGTTAACTAGTAAAGACTCTGCTGAACTATGTTTGTGAAAATATTTTTCAGGTTCAGGAGCAGCTGGCCTTAAGGAGCCCGAGAAAGCAAGCCTGATGACCCTAAAATCACAAACAGCAGAGCTGCCAGTCCATGGTGTTGTCTTTGTGCATCTATTACTGGACATCAGAGTTACTCCCAGGGGTTCCAGGAGCGCAGAGATGCCGGTGAGCGAGCAGGCATCCTCCACAGAGTCTAAGATGGAAGCTCCAGGCGGGACTCACCTGGGAGTCTGAGCTCTTTGCTAATGAACTACGGAGCACTACTTCCTGGACCAGCCGGGACATCCGGGTTCATAGGCAAAGTCAGAGGAGCGGGGCCGGGGCAGACAGTACTCTGCCAGCCTAGTGGCTTAGTGGGCTCCGGCACACACCGAGGAACAGATGGTGACCCATGGCCGACGCGGCCTGCTTGGAGATGGATGGCAGTGGGAGTGATGGGAGGCTGCACTCAACGTGCATGGCTTGCAGATAGCTCACCAGGCCAAGCCCACTACTATGTACACACACACATAAGACCACATACACACGTGAACACACGTGAACACACATGTACACCAACACAAACATGGGCTCATATGAACACATATACACATGAATACATAAACACATGCAGGGACACAAACATAGGTCCGTACAAACCTACACATGAACACAGATACATGAAAATAGTTACACATACATATACACACATAACACACATACATATGAACACACACAAATACAAACACATAAACACATTACACATATGCACACACATATACACATTAACACATACAAACATGTATACACATGGCTTATACAAACATGTCACACATGAATTTGTGCACATGACCACATACACACATATACATACATCTATGTGTATCTGAAATTCAGATTTTATTAAAACTCTATCAATATTTAAAAATATAAACTTTCATTTTTTCCCAAAATTTTGATTTTTAGTTCTCCTGTGTTTTGACGTCCTTGATGTCTGGATATGAAAATGAGCTGCTACTGGGCACTGAGTCTGGAGGGCTGCCCGAGCGACGGCCGGAGGGTTCTCAAAGAAAAGCCTTTGTTTGCCAAGCACAAGTGCGAGGCGCCGCTCCTGCACCGTGCTGGTGTGGGACAACGATCTTCCTCCTTCTGGGTGCTATGCAGACACCTGGGTGCAATGCAGACACCTGGCTGCTCATTTATAGCGACGTAATACACACATGAGCCACTCAGCACTGCATAGATAGAGCTAGGCGAGACCCACACCCATTTCAGATGCAGACCGACCACTTCAGCCTGGTGAGTGTGGGATTTTCGTGTACAGGACCATGTTAACAGGAATTTCAAATAAGGGATACTATTCCAGTTGGAAATGGTAAGAATGCTTCATCTGGACTCGAATACACTGAATCGTCGTGACCGCGGCTGCAAGCTTAGCTTCTGAAGCATCTCTACTGGTCTGAAGATGCCTCTCCCCATCTCACCCTCGACAAGCCCACTCTGGTTTCTCTCCCAAGGCAGAGCCTGTGCTCCAGATGAGCCGCGTGCACACACGCCCACCACCAGAGCAGCACGTGTCGTATGGATCCCGGATGCTCTGAGGGACCCGAAGTTCACTTCTGCACACTGACAAGCGAACAGTCATATGGTCACAGTTCAAGCAAGTTCCTCTAGGCCACCACATTCAGGCCAGAAATAGGAAGCTTGCCCCTCCTGGGCTCCATCTGAAGGACGCTCCCTCCCATGCACCGCTCTTGCTTGAAGAAATATACTCTCATCGAAATCCTTCTTCCTAAACCAGCACCTCCTCCAGAAGTGTCTTAATTTCTTATCACAGAATTTTAGCCGCACGAGGAGCAATAAATAATTCATGCCGCTGCCTCTTTGTTGTGTGTCCCTGAACTGCACGAGCTGAAGGCTGACAGCTGCATCAGGAGAGGCGCCCAGGATCTGACAGGACAAGTGGCTAACAAGTTTCTTTCAGTTCCTCGTGCACCAAGACAATGGCCCCAAGTGCAGCAAGAAGCGCTGAAACAATGAAGCGCTTCTTTCTTTTCGCCCAAGTGTTTGCCATGCCGACCTCCACCCCAGCCGGTCCTCTCCCAGGACTGCCCAGCCCCCGCGCTCACACGCGCCTGACCATTTACGCCTGGCCACGGATCAATATGAGCAATTCTTGGAGAAGCACGATGTCTCCATGACAACCGAGCCACAAATCCTCGGTGGAAGGCAGCGAGACCATGCTGAAGCCTCCAGAGGCCTGCAGGCCTGTAAGGCAAGATGTCTTGAAACGCAGGGATGGACAGAGGAAAGGGCCGGGCAACTCATCCTTTAGGCCCCGTGCTGGCTGAGGCACGGCGGTGCTCACTCCTGGCGCCAGACGCAGTAGCAGCACCTGCATTTCCTAGCTCATCTTTCTTTTGGGGAACGTCCCTTTGTCTGTGTCAGTCCCAGGGCTGCACGCCTCTGAATCTCATTGCCGTCCCGCCCGCGAGGGAGGAGGAGGGCGGTGCTGGTACTGAGCGGCTTGGTTCCTGTCAAAAGCAATGAACTCCCTGGCAGACACTTGACTCACGCACGTGACCTGACAAAAGGGGGACAGGAACTGGTTTATTAAGATACTGTAAAAACCTACGCAGAGTGAGGCGATTTGAATCCAGACTAACAGTAATTCAAACACAAATTTTATGGTAGCCTGAGCACGGCCCCCATGTACCCTTCTGTCGGTGAGACAAGGCCGTGTTTTTCCACGGCAGGCACAGGTGTGTTCTCTCGAAGGTTTCCCCTCGTTGCCAGCCAGGCCGCTTCTCTGGGCCGTGGGCGCCGGGGCAGGGGTGGGCTGAGACCTGGCTGGGGCGAGCACAGGGTAGCGCGTGTCTCTGGAGGAGTCTGGAGTGTTGGGGGTGTGCAAGGTGGCGCCACTGGGCCTGCAGGACCCCAAGATGGCTTCGGAGACCTGGCAGGACTGCAGGCTGTACCTCTCACTGAAAATTGCATCTCCACAGCTCTCCTCTGGGAAGGACAGGGACTGCTCGCAGCTGGCCCCTGTCAAGGAAGGCTACGGATTTGGACATCTCTTAACCAAGCTGACAGGCCACAGAGAGGGCGAATCAAACATAGGAATCAGGAGGAGCGCAGAAGCTGCGAGAAGCCAGGAGAGCCAGGGGCCAGATGAAGTGGGGAGCAGCAGCAGGAGGAGGGCGCCACTTCCCGCGGCACCACGGGCCCTCCTGGCGCCGGTGGCTCCGGTGCGACTCAGGAATGCCCTGCACTGTCGGCAAGACTTTCCCTTTAGCTAATTAGTCACTAGGATTAGGCACTTTTTAAGTTGAGCCAAAAGCAAGCAGAAGTCTACACTCAAGTGCATCCGGCAGGACCTTCCGGGGTCTTTCTGTCCGTTCTTTCCAGAAGTGATGGTGGCGTCCTGCACTGCTGTGAGCCTGGGAGAGCTGCCATGGTACACTGCCCAACGTCACCCTGCCGTCCTGCTCATATCCCTTCTCCTGGGAGTCCTGCTCGCGTCTAAAGGGCGGCAAAATCCCAGCGTGGTTCTTTCTGCTGGCCTCCCCGTGTGTGCTGGGCTCTCGCTGGAGCTCATTATTTCAAATATTCAGAATGTCAACTTTCTCTTGTCCCAGTCTCTGCGTGTATGCACGGTTCAGCCTAAAACGGGCGACTGTGAGCTAATCGTGTCAGCTCCTCTCAGTCATCCAGCCTTTGCACTGCGTCTGACTGAATTCCCGATGAAAGCAGAGACATGGCCGCCCCACAGCATGACCTCTGGAGGTGACCATTAATGTGACAGTGCAGCTGCCACGGGAAAACAGTATTACGTGGCCCCAGAACCCCAAAGCAGTGTCAGATTTATCACTTTATACTTGACTATTTTTAAACGGCTTTCACCTGGACTCTCAGACACTTCCAAGACGCATCTGCCAGGCACATCCGCCGAGTCCCAGAAGTTGGCTGTCTCTGAGTTGCTGTCCTGCTCGCCGGGACTGACTGCAGCTATCAGAAGGGTGGGGAGGGGAGAGAGGGGGAGAGATGAGGCGGCAGCACCAGGTCATTAAACCATTTCTTTCCAGTCTAGGGATACTTCCAGGGGCACACTATGTAAACACAAATAATAAATTGAAATAAAATGTATCCTCTAAGTATTTATTGGCAGACACGTAATTAGTTGAAAAATCCATAGATGTGACTTTATCTTAGAAGAAAAATAAGTTCAGGACATCAGCTTAAAAGCTACAAAGTAACAAAGTGATGCCTTGCAAGTAGCAATCGTATTTTTAATGCATAAATCTAAAACAATAAAGTCAATTAATGGCTACGGCAAGCCCAGGGCCCTGGGCTGCCTGGAGGGTGAGCTCCGCCGGAAGGCCTCCTCTGCCCGAGCAGCCACAGCTACGGACACTCAGGATGTGCTTCAGTTCTACTTCGTGGACTTATGAGTGACCACACACACGCACACATGTGCACAACACACATGCACACGGACACATGTGCACACATGTGCACAGGGACACATGTGCACACACATGCACACACGTGCAATGGGCACACACATGGACACACACACATGCGTGCACACACCCACATGCACACATACACATACATACGCAGAGGCACACATTGCACACGCACACACGTATGCACCTGTGCACATGGGAGCATGATGACATTCTGCCTGCTGTCTCCTCAGATCTCACCGCCACACTCAGTCCATGTCTATCAGCCAGAGTGTGCAGTACAGGGAGAAGCTGCCAGGCTGGACCATGGTCTCCAGCCTCCGCTGGGGAGGAGCGGGCTGGGCAGGGGCTGCAGTCCACACCTTACACTCTGGACAAGGACACAGTGCCCACGCGGGTTCCTAGCCACCCTGCTTTCGTGCCCGTGGAGCTTGGCAGGCGTGGCGCCAGCCCACACACATGTGTCAGTGCAGCCGGAGGTGACTCTGGTCTGTGGCTCCTCAGGACCAGGAATCTTCTCTGTCCTGCAGAAGCACGAGCGCGGCTTACACCCACTGCCTCTCCAACGCTTCTCTAACACCTTTCGTTTGAACACTTACGGGAACTGTATGAAATTCTTATTTTAAATAATAAACCTGACCTTCATTTTGCACATTAGAATTTTCTGGACAAACAGTACAGTAGACACCACAGTGCTCCCCTGTGGGGTGTGCCCGCCTGCCGCAGCATCTGTCAGAGCAAAGTCGCTGTGGAGCAGGTGCAGGAAGGACGCTGAGGCACTGCACTCAGGGTCCTGCACACCCCAGGACCTCCGGACGTGAGGGCCTCCGGACCGTGAGGACCTCTGGACCGCGAGGGCCGCTGGGCCCCAGGGACCTGCCCTCTTGTTTCCTTGGACAGGCTCTCTTGAGCTCCTGCTCTGACCCATGCAAGACGACGAGGTACACCTGCCCAAGCTGATGTGGGTCTGGAGAGGCACCGATGGGCTCAGTCATCAGTCACAGATCTGCCTTGAACTCTGCAGTGTAAATCATACTCCCAGAATACTTCTGAGTCCACAGCATTTTGGTAAACATTTTAATTGCAGCATAGCAGCCCCTCGCTATTTCGTGGTTTGACTTTCACGGACTCACTGTTTCACTGTTTTTTTCCCCTAAATACATTTTTTAATTATTTAGTACAGGGTCTACAGGATCTCACTACACAGATCAGACTCGGAGTGACTCTCCTGTTTTCAGTTTCCCAGTCTCAGTTCCCTCTCAGCACACCCCGGGAGCAGGACCAGAACTGCACGCCCAGGATGTAACCCTGGCCACTGCGTCTGCCTAAGCAGGCACTTTAGCTCGCTGAGCTATCTGGCCAGCCTAAAAAATACTGATCTAAATTATCTGTTGCAGATTTTTTTTTTTTTCTATATGTGGGATTGTGCAGTAGTGTGCAGTATATGTATGTTGTTAAAATTAAGTAGGTTTACGAGTTTAGAAAGTGGTTAAGAACATTAGAAATGTTTCTAAAAGTGTGGGAAAGGTTTATAAGAGCACGGGCAGGGTATAACTACAATGTTGCTACTTCGCTCATTTTCACTTATGGCGGGGTTGTATGGATGGTAACCTCCGCAGTTAGGGAGGGGCCGCTGCAGTTAAATGTATCAACACCACAGAAAGCTATTACACTGGGCAGGATTTCCCAGCTTGTTTTAATTATGCTGTCTATGTCTTACTTGTTAATTTTCTGAGGTATGTACTGTAGGGACTCAGCCCCATAGCTACACATTTTCTAAAAGCCAGTGAGTGGCATCTGTGTTTATGGGGGAAACGTCCTACGCTTGGTGCTCCACATCTTGGCCTTGCACAGCTTAACACCTGCCTCCTTCCTCTCCTCAGTTCATCCCCCCAACAGACACTTACCCAGCACCAAATGTCTGCAGAACATGCTCTGAATCAGAAGTCTTGAAAAGGAAAAGGGTATAGGCAGGGGCACCAAGAATAAAATGCCCACCCACGGCCATTTTCAGGGCGAGTGAGAAAGTTAGCGGGCGCTGGGTGAAATAAATACCAGGTCCCTGGACATCCTGGAGAGTCAGAGTCCCAGGGATCACGCAGCTGTCCTGCATCCCACCCACCTGTTCCCTGATAAGAGTTTGGGGGGAGGAAGGGATTATTCTTGGGCATTTGGCTTAATTATGCATCAGCGAACACATCCGCAGTGGTATAAGCTTTGCCAAGTGTACTGGCAGTCAGTGCAACAGCCAATGCAGTTCGCCATTCTCATTAGGAGCGACGGCCAGCATGTCGCTGGCAATGCAGCCTGCCCAGAGTTTAATGACTGGCTCTCCTCTGCATTGCCTGCTGGTAGGTGAGCATGTGCAATTGTTCTTCTGGGTGTTTCCTGAGATGCTCCAACATTAAACCCTGACATGATGTGTGACCAGGGCTTCTCTAATGAATCATTTCAGAAATGGTGACATCAACGAATATTGATCTGCTGCTCCTGATGAACAGAGCTCTTTGCCAGGCAGGGAAGAGTACAGAGCGGGAGTCACTTTAACGTGCCCTCACGCAACTTGCCATCTAGGTGTTGTGCAACGTGCGGAGCCCCAGGAGGACAGGGACAGAGGACAGCGCCTCCACAGTAGGACAGGTGGAGGTGAAGCTGGGGCTAGTCTTGAGCAGGAAAGGGACCCTGAAAGGAGTTGTGCGAGCACACGCTGGCGCAGGAGGACCTGAGGGTCGGGCCGCAGGCGTGTGCCCGCGGGCTGCGGGTTGGGTGCAGTTTGACGCGCTGTCCTCACTTGCCTCTTGAGCTTTTGCTGAATGGCTGATGTGGGCTAATTCTCATCTGCACGGTTCGGCTAGAGATAGGTCTTCCTTGCCCTGGATGGTCAATACTCTGATCTTTGCAGATGGTGGGCCCATTTGTCACAGCAAGCTGTCCTTTCATGATACATACTGGCCTTTGTTTATCAATACCAAAGTCCATTTGAGCTCATCACTGAAGTTCCTGTGCACTTCCAGGAGTTCTTGAGGATGCACTTCAGAGCTCGGCAGAGACATTTTTGACATCAGTACAGCAGAGGGCTGTCAGGCGCATCTTCAGCTTAAAATCAACCATGTGTCTCCTCTGTAATGGAGTCTGAAACAGCCCATGCTAGGAGCTGGGGAGCTGACACGATAAACGCTTGTTAACAGTCCTACCGCGGGCAGACATGATGCTGCTCGCTTTACCCATCAGGATCCTCTGCAACACCTGAGTCAGGGTGCTCTGTAGGCCCTGTCTGCTGAGGCACTTCTGACCAACAGTGTAATCCTCCTAGACCCTCCAAAATGCAGCGTGGAGCCAGAGACAGCAGGAAATCACAGTTGGTCAGCTGCACTTGGGAAATCCTCAAGAGCAACCCAGGCTCGCTGAGGAAGATTCTGTAGGGTTTATTGTTTTAAAATATATTGTGTCAGGCTCTTCCTCCTCCCCCTCTGTTCTCTACTCTGGCTTCAGTCATCCTGCAGAAAGCCCTCCTTGCTTTGGTCAGCATTTCTAGGGGTGATATCTGCTGCTAAAGGCAGCAAGAACAAGTCAGCAAACAACTGTAGGAAGCAGCTTCGCCCTCAGCAGAACTGCCGAAGGGAAAACCCGCACCCTCCCCACCTACAGTGGGCAACCTGCTTGCTAGGCCACTGCAGTCCGGTGGAGCCGTGGCTGAGTACCCACATGGTCTGCAGCCTCAACTGAATCTGCAGCTGCAAATGAATGACGGGTTCTAGCCAATGACATGAACGAGGTAAGCGCGAGGCCCCACTGAGCACACAAGCAGGCTTCGGGGAAGTGATGAGGGCATTACAGCATCGTGAATAACAAGAAAAGACAGTTCAAAATGCCGGTCAGCCGAGAGGAGCCAGCGTGGGAGCAGACACGGGCCACTGGCAATGCGGGGACTGCTGGGCTGAGCACACGAAGATGATGTGCAGTGGCCAGCCCCATGGAAGCGAGCCCTGGCTGCAAGTCTGCTCCCGCAGCTAGCTCGGCAGCAGTGGATCGCTTCCTGCTCGATGATGGGGTCACTCGCACCCAGTCTGAAGGAGGCACCGAGAAATAAACTAAAGTATCTTCCCAGACGCTTTCACGAAAGAAAAAATGGCATCAAATATAGGTGAGGCAAATAGTATCGCAATCTACGGGAGGCGGAAGCTATGAAAGGTGCCCGTGATGACACCGGCTTCGTAAACAAAGAGGCGCTCCCGAACGGCCCCGAACTCGGCTTCCAAGTGGCTCCTCCCAGGCAGTGTCCTATCAGGAAGACACATCTGGCTAAGAGCTGTGCACATACTGCCTCGACTTTAAAGCCTATCTGCTGAGATAATCAAGCAGGAGGACCTCTTAATTATATTTGAATAGCAATCACTACATTCTGCATCTGACGCCTGGCTGATTTTGCCTTCAATGTGGACTGGGAACTAGAAAAAGCAAGCAGGCAGGGATGCCAAAACTTAATTAGGTCTCTACAGCTGCTTTATAACTAAGCAAGAACTGCTATGGACAAGTTCA